TCTCTAATCTCCCTTAGCATTTCAATGTCAGTATCGCTGTCCTGGTCAAGTGGTCAGTAATATATCCCTACTGCTAATTTCTTATTATTGGAGCATGGAATTACTATCCATAGCGAATGTATTGAACATGTTGATTCATTTAATATTTTTATTTCATTTGATTCTACATTATCTTTCACATACAGTGCCACTCCGCCACCCAGCTGGCCTGCTCTATCCTTTCGATATATTTTATATCTCAGTATGATTGTGTCCCACAGATTTTCTTCATTCCACCAGGTTTCAGTGATGCCTATTGTCAATCTCCTCTAATACGATGTACTCTAGTTCATCCATCTTATTAGTCAGACTCCTAGCATTTGTGTAGAAGCACTTTAAAAATTTGCCACTGCTTATTTGTCTGCCCTTCCCTGATGCATTGGATTCCTTTATATGCGGTTGTTTGTCTGCTCTGGCCCATGGTTTGTCCTCTCCCTTCCTCTCTTTCTGACTACATCTTAGAGAATCTCTATCAATGGATTCTCCTCTAAGAGAAGTCTCCATCCGATTTATGTGCATCTCCGCACCAAATCGGCTTTCCCCCATCTCTTAGTTTAAAGATTAAAAAGGCCATAGAGCAGGCCCTGCGCGTGGAATTGGAAGCATTTCCAAGAATGCCACCATAGAGGTCCTGGATTTCAGCCTCTTTCCTAGCAACCTAAATTTGGCCTCCAGGACATCTCTCCTACCCTTCCCTAAGTCATTGATACCTACATGTACCACGACCACCGGCTCCTCCCCAGCACTACACGTAAGTCTATCTAGATGCCTCGAGAGATCTGCAACCTTCGCACCAGGCAGACAAGTGACTATACAGTTCTCCCGGTCATCATAAACCCAACTATCTATGTTTCTAACGATCAAATCACCCACTACTAACACCTTCCTCTTCCTAACAACTAACATTCCCTCCCCCTCAGAGGTATCCTCAGTGCGAGAGGATACCGCAACATTCTCTGGAAGGTGGGTCCCAACTACGGGATGGTTTCCCTCTGATCCCATTTGATGATCTGTTCCCTTGAGACTTTCATCCTCTTTAAGAGCACTGGGGCTC